ACGCCGCCTCTGATCAACGCCGCCTCTGTCGGACACAAAGGCGCGCTCTCCTCAAACTCATCATGCCGAAAATCACAAAGAACCATAGTCAGACAAGTAAGCAATACTACTAGTGGTCTTCACAGCCCTCGAATTCACCGCAACATTGGCCTCTGATTCCCTCCCAACCACCGAATCCCCATCCTCTCTCGACCTAAAATCATCTACATGATTCGTCATGATCGTCGGCGATGATCCCAAAGACTGCGAGAGTAAAGGGGCATACATTAGATCTCCCAATGCCATTCCAACCAAAATCCTAGCTTCTGGCAACTTCACCCGACCCTAGCCTCGCCATCGGCACCAAGTCTAAAACCCTAACACTGCTTATCGCTGAGAATCCTCCGATTGCAAGCGATCTCCGACGAGAATTAATCGATGAAGCCGCTGGACCAGCGTCGGAACGCGATCCAGCTCCTGATAACCCTTCAAGTTACTATTTTTGGAAACCCTAGAATCGTTTGATAGTGAATGTGAGAGAGAGTGAGAGAGGAGAATTAGCGTTTCGAGAGTGGAGGCAGAGGGAGGGGAAGGAGCGTGGGAAATAAATAAGAACTTTTCTCTCTAGAAAATTTTTTTAAGGAGGAAATGGATTCAAAATTCTAAAGTATTGTTTTTCCCCCTCTTTTTTTTCCGAACTTTTGGTTATTGTTGTAGAAAAAGGAACTAGGGTTTAACTGGATTTTTTTCATATTAGTCCCTGAATATTTTTTTATTGCATAAAGTTCCTCAAAAGACTTTTCAAGTAACACTTATGGACCTTTATGGATATCCAGAAAACTATCTTGAATAACCTTTTTCATTGATTGCAATGCTTGAATTGCTTGAATTGTGAAGCATGGTTGTTTTTATATATTAAACTTCCAATTATTACTTCATATTCACAGCATATCAGGTGACCACATTTGAGATTTTTTTAAAGAATATTTAAATATATTTATATTTGACCGCTATTTGACTATGCGCTATTTGCCGCTATTTTGCCGCAGTAACCCCAAATAGCCTTAGTGGTACCTCCCCGCGATGCGACGCTATCCGCTATCATCAACCTTGCTCATCATTCATGTATATATTTTTTATGTATTCAGCTAGAAAGGGAACGGAGACTGTTGCCTCAGTCTGCTGTAGATTAGCACAAGTCAAGCTGCTACCCCCTCAACCAACCCACCTCGTAAAAACCTCTTAATCTCCCTTGCTCCCTCATTGTTGTCTTTTGTACTTTGGGGAGTGAGTAAATAAGTACATATAGATTTTATTTTTCCTTATATTATCTTATACAGTTAAAACCAGTAATTTTGTAAGTTTTCATACTAGTCTTTCTCTTGGCACGTGTCTATAAATGTAAACTTACATCACTTGAACTCATATCCCGTTCATTGTGCTTTTTGTATGTGCACCTATATAAAGCATAAAAATATGTAGCTGTTCTCTATGTGCATTGCTCTGTTATTTGACGATTGCTAACCATGCATAGAAATCTTTCTATGAGATTAGCTCCAACACAATTTACTCTTATGATTGTATAGAACTTCATGGTGCTGCACTTTATCTGTGAATTGTTGCACATTTTCACTACTACTTCTACATAGCCAAAGAAATGTTTGCTAGTTTTTCATGTTTTTATTAGTGATTTGTCTACTTCTTTTGCAGACATGAGCAACCCTATGATAGCTGCTGAAATTGCAAGAGAACTCCGTAGATTTCATCAGGTGGAAATACCAGGCTCTAGAGAACCACAATTGTGGCATGATGTACACAAGTTCCTTGAGAAAGGTCACTGACTTCCCATAGCCTGGTATTTGCCTTTTCATTGCACTTAATGGAGAGCTAATCTTCGATAATGGATCAAGTTCTTTTACATCGACAATATTTCTGCATGAGAAAAGAATTGGTTCTGGGTAACTGTATTATTTTGTCTATCCTAGCTAAAACTGAAATGGTGGTTTCAGCTCAGACATTAGAATTTGATGACAGCGAGAAGCAGGCGAGGTATGACGAAATTTCGTTCAAGGAAATACATGACGAGGTTGATGATCTCAAGGTATCAATTTTTTTGGACATCCTGTTTTCGTTTGTGTTTATTAGTTATTATTGTCTCTTCTTATATCTACAAAATAAATTTTATGGTGCGTGATTTACTAAATTTTCAGAGGTTATTGTGTGTTCTTTTGTAGTCGATGTTTTTTTTCCTGATATTTTTGGGTTCCCAAAGCAAACAATTCTCTTTGCTCTACCTTTTCCTCAAAACAACTGAAGGAAAATAAACATTAGTATGAACAAAGCTTGATGCATATGTCCTAATATTTTGAACAGAGTAAAAGAAAATCACATTGATTAGGCCTAGCTATGATTTTGTTTTTATTTGAGATAATACATGTATGTGCTGTACCTTATGATCACCTGTTTGACAGTGGGCAGATTCTGGATCTTTATTAAGAAATTCATGGGTCTGCTTTTAACATTTTTAGTCCGCTACTTTATTTACAAACATAAATATGTGTTCTTGAGTCCAGAAGATTCTAGATCTTCTTTTAAGACAATTTTGTTCTACTTACTTGTTTACAGGATCTAGCACACCTGCTTAATGCCCCTGTGGTCTTTTCGCACAATGATCTGCTTTCCGGTAATCTGATGTTAAATGATAAAGAAGGTAAATGTAATGCTTCACAGGTTATACCTATTGTAAGATGCACAAAGAAATTTAATGTGCCAGTAAGCTAAAGTTCTGTACTTCACTTTAACCAAACTTCTTTTGGATCCATTCTCTGAATTTGGTTCTGACAATTTCTTTGTTTGTGTTTATAGTTCCAGAGAAGCTCTATTTCATTGATTTTGAGTATGGGTCATACAGCTATAGAGGCTATGACATTGCGAACCACTTCAATGAATATGCAGGCTATGAATGTGACTACACCTTGTATGGTGTCTTATTAACAAAAAATTTGGTTTATTTATGCTTCAGACCAAATGCTTTAATAATTTATGTGCTTATCCTGCACAATTATTGTTGTACTAGGTACCCTGGTAAGGATGCACAATATCATTTCTTCAGGAATTATCTGCAACCTGATGCACCCCATGAGGTATGCCAGATTGTTCAGCGTTTGTTCGTCTATCACTGTGTTATAAAATCAAATTTGTCTAATTGCTGACGCCGGTGGAGATATCATATGACCTACTGAGATGGACTTATGAGTGTGTTTATATATTTCCTCTTGAGTTAATGGTGATTTAAAATGGCAGAGTATTCTGATCATTTTTGTTTCTAGCCCATATTTCTTGTTTGTATCATTGCCAGCTCCTACATAAGATTTTTGCCTATTGTCAACATATGAAGGAAGAGACTCAAACTGACCTTTTATGCCATTATTTCTTATTGTCGTTGTAACAAGTTTATGGGAAATAGATACTCAAGGTGGTATTTCCGAAGTAACATGTACTGTTTAAAAGTGGAAGTTGAATCATGCAATGATACTGCTAAAGATGGAATGTGATTCATAAGCTTTCTCAATCGTGTTTATTTGAATATTGCTCAAAGCATAATAGATCAACAACTATACTTTCTTCTCAATAAGCTTATTTGTATATTATTAACGACTTTAGGTTTTTCTGCAACCAGAAATACTAACAATTCTTCTTTTTTTTCTATTTTAAACTAAAATACTTCATAATACAAGATGAGCTGCTATTAATCTCTTTAGCTGATACGACTTTTTTGTCATCAGGTACCAGACACAGATCTTAATGATCTTTATGTAGAAACAAGTACTTTTCGATTAGCATCACATGTGTACTGGGCTCTATGGGCTCTTATTCAGGTAAATCTTGATGAAAATGTATACGTATTTCTTTATCAAATTTATCTACTGTGTTGAAAAGCTCGAGTTAGGACCTTTCTGTCGTTTGCCTTGACTTGACATTGATATTGCTTCTTCTAAAATAACTAAAGGTTTTATGATACGTTCTGAAAAAAAAACTAGAGATATCAGTACCACATCCCTCTCTCCCTTATCCTCCTACGCCTTCAATCTCACACATTTATTGTGATTTACTTTCTTATTCTCTTTCTCCATTAAAAAGTTTGCCGTCTAGTTTAAAGAAATAATTTAAAAATATTTACGTAAAAGTTGTTTCAATATGACATATAACACAAGTAGCAAAAATCATCTTATTAGGGGCTGTTTGGTTGTTTTCCGAAAAAAATCGGAAATGGAAAACTCACATTTCAACTCATTTCAAGAGATTTTAAGACATTTCCCACATTTTTTTTTGTTTGTTTCGCAATGAAATCACCGTCATGTCACCGCCACGTCACATAAGAAACAAGTGTAGCCGCAATAGTAATAGTGTTTCGATTTCCATTTCTTGTGTTTGTTTGAACATAAAAAAGGAAATGGAAATCAACTGCAATAGTAACCGTGTTTTCAGCAATTAAATAATCTGTTTTATTCACAGTCACTGTTTCAACAGTGCTTCTAGTAATTAAAAATTCATTGAAGTGACATTTCTAAGTGTTTTCAGAGGTTTTTGGTGTGAAAACAATTTTCTCAAAAATCTGACATGGCATCCTACGTGGCACCCTCATTTTTTTAAATCACAAAACGAAACAAATATGTGATTTGGAAATCGGTTGAAACCAAAATCCTACGTGGCAGTGCGGATTTCTTGAAATCTGACGTGGCTGGGGGTTTTCTCATTTTTTTATCAAATAAACAACCCCTTAAGGTATATATAAATATTTGGAAATTTTACAAACCACCCTGAACTCCTGAGTGTTTTGCACAAAACCTCCTACTAAACTTTGTAAATTAGAAACCCTCTAAGTTTCAAATTATACAATAATCCCCGAACTTTTGGAAATCGTCATAAACAGCATTAACGTGAAGGTTAAAAGGTCTGACTACCCTTATTAATGTTTAGTATCAGTTAACCCTATCCCAAAAAACTCTCCAAGTAAAAGTAAAAGGACACAAGGGAAAATTATTCAAAACATGGCATGTAAGCATATGAGAGTTTAAACTAACTGCTGTTAGTCATGGTGTTTTAGTGAAACAAGTTCAAGGGGTTGTGCAAAACACTCGAGACTTCAGGGGTTGTGAAATTTACCCAAAATATTAAGCAAAAATTACCTTTCTTTTGCTTATCACATGCTGATTGCATAACAAAATCTTTTATCAGACTGTTTTTGTGCTAACTCGCCCTTTTTTGTCTTCCAATGATGCAGGCAAAGATGTCTCCTATTGATTTCGATTATCTCGGGTACTTCTTCCTTCGATACAATGAGTACAAGAAACACAAGGACGACTGCTTCTCCTTGGCAAGGAAATATCTTTCTGGCTCAAGCATCTCCTGAAGTATATTACTTTTTACTGGTGGTTTCATTTCTTTTTCCTTGTGCCATCAATATTCTTTAAATTTGACTATTTCTTTGGACATGTAGCCTGAAATGTATTATACCTTGTCACGGTTACATTTCTAGAGCTAGAGGTATGGTTTCTTACTTTCTTTACAAGAACTCTATTTCTGAAATTGAGGGCATTGATTCTGTATAATTGTATTCGTCCTAAATTTGGACCGATGAAATGGATGTATACATATAAACTTTATAAAGAAGGTTATTGTTTTATAATCCAGTGTTTTGGCTTGAAAAAGAGTTTGCGACCAAACTTGTGTGGATCTCTGATCCTCTGGATCCATGCATTGGTGCACTTGTACTTTCAATATGTACATGTGCAATTATGTATGCGTTGATTCTGTATGATTCTAATTGGGTTCTTGGTTCAGATAATGCTAAATTACCATATTGGTATTTTTATTCGATCATGTTTGCCAGTTTGGTATATTTAAAAAATCCAACGATAACAATGTATTTTTTTCTCGGCCTTTCAGTCAATAAGGCTCATTCTTCTCGTCGGTAGTCAAAAAACAACCGTGAGTTGTTCACGTGACACTCACGTGATAAAATTAATACCAACATGGTGATAAAATTAATACTAACATGGTAGGATGTTAATGACGTGGCTAGTTAGTTGAAAATCTCCTCTTCCCCCTACTCACGCTCAAATTGGGGGTGAAATATAAATTAGGGTTTGAGGTCCTGCCTCCTTCGTATAAACGTACAGAACGTTGTTGTCGATCAAACCCGCCATCTTCACCCACTCTGGCATCACGGGAAGCCGTCAAATGGCCATGCTCTAGTTCCCGCAACCGATCTCCCAAACCACCATCCTCCCGTTGGTTCGCATGGTCACATCCCTCTCGAACTTCATCACCTTCGGCTGCTCCTGCAACCATTGGCATACTACTGATAGCACCCCAGGTAGTTCTCCAGCCTCTTTCTCGCTCCTCGTAACGTTCAAGAACCCATGTACCGACCAAGACTTGTCGAGCTCTAGCTTGTGCAGGATGACGTAGGTCTGAGTTGCCAATATAGCATGCTACGAGACCGATGCAACTCTCGGACAGCCTCCCCAGCTACAGTGTCGCCACCGGGTCCACCTCCTCTGGGACGCTGAAACCCTCCGCAGAGTCGCCTTCCTCTTCAGTTGTCACCCTGACCACCGCGGGTGGCATGCCGGTGAGCCAGAACGCCATGCCGCAACCGTTGGACACGCCAGTCCTCTCGATTATCTGACGGGTGTCGAAGACCGGCATTAATTTTGGCCTTCTTTTTAAAACATAGCCATGTCAGTATCCATGCCAGCATTAATTTTGTCATGTGAGCGTCACGTGAGCCACTCGCAGTTGTTTTTTGGCCGCCGGCTAGAAGAATGAGCCTTATTGACTAAAAGGCCGAGAAAAAATAACTTATTGTCGCCAGATTTTTTAAATATACCAAACTGGCAAACATGATCGAATAAAAATAACATTTTGGTAATTTAGGGATGGATTTGTACCACATACGTTTTATAATCCATTGTAAAGGAGAGAGTCCAAGGATAGCTGCGAAAAGCGACTGTCCTTACAGGCTCGAGTTGTGTTTGGCTGATGTTAGGTTTGGGAGTCGGGTTAGGTAGGTTTGGGCTTACTATATGTGATACGCGTCCGCGGACAAAACCGGCAGGGTTGAATCGCTTTTGAAAAACAGTAGGGAGTCCCAAGCTTATGTGTTGTTGTCCTCTGTTATCTCCATGTGCTGCTTCACTTGTAGTTTCCATATGTTTAACGTGCGCAAATATGTGGCATATGAGACTTCACGAATCTGGTATGAAACCGGAAGCAAAGCCGAGTAGTGGTGTGGAGATTATTGCTTATTACTTAGAAAGGTGACTGTTTTCTTGACAAATGTTGTGTACTAGTCATCTATTTTGCATTTCTACAGAAAGCATTGGCTTAATTGCACTTAAATATCCTGTCGCTTACCCAATGTTGCACATATATACCTTCATTTTTTTGTAACAGCACTTATATGCCCTAAAGTTTTTAACTTCTTGATATAAACTATTATTTGGTTTTGGCAGCATGTACTTATATATCCTAAAATTCTAAACATGTGCACTTAAATACCCTAAAGTTTTTACAATGGCACTTACACATCGTAAAGTTTTTAAAAGTTGCGCTTGAATATCCTCAAGTTTGCATAACTAAGAATATTTAAGTGCTGAGTTTTAAGAACTTTAAAGTATGTAAGTGCATGTTTTTAAAATGGCTAAAATACCAAATTAGTATTGAAAGTAGTACCAATTGGTATTGAAATTATCTCCGATGATAACAAGGCATTCAACCTTACACGATGAAACAAAGAGGCCCAAAATAAATTTTCCGGCCAACTTTTCTAGCGACCACTTATGCAATCTGTCACATGATGCTTATGTGGCATATTTTGATAACATGACACTTGTAGTTAGCCTAATTCAAACTATTAGAGGGGTATATTTTTAAATTAGTGTAAAAGCAAAGAGAGCTTTTTTTATTGGGAGCTTCTTCTCCTTCTATCAAATTAGGGTTCTCCTTTGCTTGAGAACGTGGATTGGTTGAGCTCAAACAATGAAGAACCACCAATTTGAAGGAAGGAGTCCCAAATTTAAAAAAAAACTAGTATAATGCACGTGTTTTGCACGTCAACATTTTTTGTATTTAATATTATATTATATAATAAATTATATATAAATATTTTACAAAGTTATTTTATTACACTATGATTAAAAAATTTAAGCTATTCTATTATTAGTGATAATACTATTATTAACATACATTTAATAGTTATTTAAATTTGCTTATGTTATTAAACAATTTATTTAAAAGTATAATTATTAAACAATAATGAAATTATTAGTTTAAGTGACACTATTGAAATAGCGACAAAAAAAGTAACACTATAGAAATAATTAAACCATTTATATTATTAAATATTTATATTATGTAAATATATTATTACAGTATCTATTAAATAATGGAAATAATTTTTAATATTATATGACTTTATGTTGTAAATAATATTACATTGTTTGATAATTAATATCATCTTAACAATAAAAAATTGGACGATATAAATTAAAAATATAATTATTTATGAAAAATACTTTACATAAAATTATTGGATCCTTGAAATTTATGAGACATTTACTTTCCAACAAAAAGTGCATGTCTCATAAATTCTAAGGATGTAATATTTTTATATAAAATAATTTTCCTAAGTAAAAGTATTTTTAATTTATAACATCTAATTTTTATTACTAAGATGATATTATAATGTTGAAAAAGGTTAGACTACTTACAATATAAAGAATCAATCCTTATTTGTACTATTATTAATAGTTATAATTATGTACAATAATTTATTAAATAAATAATTTTACTATTTTATTATAAGCAATAATTATTTATGATGAATTATAATATATTTATTAAATTTATTATCGTTATAAATTATTAATATATTCTAGTGAATGACTAAATATTTTTGGTAAAAAGAAGAGGAAAGTGTATGTCTCATAAACTTCAAGGATCCAAATATTTTTAAATAAACTAAATTTCCAACATAAAAATATTTTTAATTTATAATGTCCAAAATTTTATTACTAAGATGATATTAATTATCGAAACAAGGTAATATTTTTTTACAACAAAAAGATATAACCATATTTATACTATTATTAGTAATTATAATTATGTACAATAATATATTAAATAAATAATTTTTCTATTTTATTTAATTAATAATTCTTTATAATAAATTATCATATATTTATGAATTTTGTTATCATTATAAATTATTAATATATTGTAGTGAATGATGAAATAATTTGAGAAAATGAAGAGTTGCATAGTTAATGAGAGGTTATGGATCATTAGCTTTATACATATTGGTATAATTGTGAGTTATAAAAAAATTGAGAGAGTAAAAAAGTAAATCAAAAGTTTTGACGTGAGTATTCTCTTTTATAAGTAGTATAGATCTATCTTTGTTTAATCCTAATTTGAAAATCACTCCTTCTAATGGGTTGAATAAGGCTAACTATAGTTGCTACGTCATCATACACATACCACATAAGCACATGTGGCAGATTACCTGAGTGAGTCCCCGGAAAAATGGCCGGAAAACTTATATTTGGGCCTATTTGTCTCATCGTATAAGTTTAAATACATTGTTGTCGCTGGAGATAATTTTAATACATTGTTGGTCATGGGGTACTCTTTTAATGCCAATCTAGTAATTTAGCCTTTTTAAAACTTTAAGGTATATAAGTGCTGTCAAAACAAGTGAGAGTATATAAGGAAATTTTTTAAAATTATAGATTATGTAAGTGCTCCAAAAACAAGTGAGGGTGTATAAGTGCGAAAGAAAACTGATAGCGTATTTATGTGCAATTACGTCAAAAGCATTATCCCTGAGGAATTTGAAGACTGTGTTTGGTTAGTTGTAGTTAGAACAATAAATGCATTTTTAAATGTCATATAGTTCCGATTATTGACGTTGAAATACTCTTTAATTTAAACACAACAACAATTCCTCTATTATTTTTCACAACGGTTCTGTTATTTACGCCCTTTTTCAGCCGAACGTATATGTCAAAATTTGGAGTTGAACACCCAGATGATTTGCGAAAATTTCAGCAGCATCTGATATGTTGATGTCACGTCAAAGATGGATTCAGGAAGTTTTGAATTGGACATTGATCTTAGTACTTCATTGTTTTGGTCGAAAATTGTTTTCATTGGTGAGTTCATTACAACTTTAAGTGTTACAACAAACTCAAAAAAATAAGTCTTTTTATAAGACTTTCAACAAAAGATTATAACTTTCTTTCAAACAAACGCAACAGACGTTTTTATCTCCCGCTGCTTGCGTGGGATCTTAGCCTGTGACGGTGACGTTGATATCCGTGGACTACCAAACGATTAGATCGATCCGGAGCTACGTTGATTCGCGAAGGAATAAAAAAATTAAAGCAATTATCTCGGCAACAGCGAGATAACCACTCTTCTCGAGATCACCGCAACAGGGCAATCTAAAAGAAAAGAATCGGGCTGCAGATCTATCGAACTCTCCTTCTTTATGCAGAAGAATTCCCTGAAGTCTCCCCCTCCTCTCTGAAGTTCGTGCTCCTTCAGTCTTCAATTCAGCAGGGCTTCGCCGACGCTCGAGAATTCCAGATCTGTGCAAATAAAGGCCCTAGGGTTGTA